TCTTCAGCTTTAATTTCTTGAATCTAATTTTAAATTATTTTAATAAAGAAAAATAATTTTAATAAAAAATCCGAAACCTTTTTAAGACCACCACTTGTAACAAATAATCTTCGTGCTTTAGGATCATGTGGAAGTACTTTTGAAAATTGTGCAACAACATGTTTAAGAATATTTGGTGATGCTTCATGTAATAATGGTTCTAATACTGGTAAATAAACACATTTTTGTAGAATATTTTTCAAAGCTTTTTTTGCTTTTGTTTGTAAATCTTCAGACATATCTGTACGCATATATAAATGAAGTAATCGTGGTAAAACATTTGCAACAGCGACAGCTTTAGCATGTTCAGGTGTATGACGACCAATTTGTCCTACAAATATTGAAAAAAAATAAATACAATAAAAACAAAATCTAATTTATTATAACAAACCAAGTGCCCATGCTGTTGCAGCTAATATATGATCTTCAGTTTCTTCATTAAGTGCAATTGATAATTGATTGATACCCTTATTTTAAATAAACAAAATAAATAAATTTCTTTTTCTTTTAGTTTTTGTTTTACTTTTGAAACAATAACAGCCATAGCTAAACTTTCTGTATGTGCAGCTGTATAACCAAGCATCATAACACCTGGTAAACGTACATTACCACGGGTTGATGAAACATAATCAACAACAGCAGCGACTCCACCTGCATTCACAATCATTTGTGCTAACTAAATTATAATTTATATTTTTTTATCGAAGAAATTCAAAGAATATATTTACTTCCGGTGTATGTTTAACAATTTCACGTATAAGTGTAGCACAATTTTTCTTTACATATTCATCTGTATCATTTAAACATGCAAAAGCGGCTGGAAAGATTTCAGCTTCAACAACCATTTCAGCCAAATCAACGGAATGTTTTGCAATTTGACTTAAAGCAGAAAATATTTGTCGCTAGAAAATCAAACAAAAAGAAAATATATATATAAATAAAAGAAAGAAAATTTTTACTTTAAGTTGAGCATCAGGATTAAGAATCATTTGAGCAAGATGTGCAATAGCTCCAGCATCAACAACTGTTTGTGCTAATTCCGGTGAATGTTTAGCTATATCAGATAATGCTGATGCAGCAACACGTTTTAAAGCTATTTCGGGTTCTTGTAAACATAAAACAAGTAATGGAACACCACCAGCATCAACTACATGTTGGGCTAATTCTAAATTATTAAAATTATATAAATACTTTTATTCGAAAGACAGATATATTCACACTATTTAAATACGTTTCTTTTCGTGTATGAATGAGTTGGTAATAAAACTCAATTACGATAGAGAGAATCTGTTAAAATTCTTATTAGCTCAATTATATTAAATAATTCTTTTAACATTCTACCACGTTTAAATCGTCATGCAATTAAATATTTTTTCGAGTCCTATTTGACATGGTTTAATTTTTTGTCTTTATTTTTCCAATGTATTTAAATGTAAACAAGTAATGAAGCCTTATTTTGTCATTTTTCTAACCTGCATTATGTCGTGCAATATATCCAAGTGCCCATGTTGCTGCTTCTTTAACAGATGGATCAAATTCTTCTAGACAAAGCACAAGGGCATCTAATGCTCCACAATCAATAACCGATTGAGCCAATTGGGGTGAATGTTTAGCAACAGCACGTAAAACAAACGCCGCAGCTTTTTTGTAGAATCTCTAAATACGAAAGATTGTTTATTGTTTAATAATTCAAATAATTTTTTACGTTTTGATCAGCCAATGAATAGACAAGTTGCGGAAGAATATCACCACGTACGACAGATTCAGCTAAATGATCAGAATAATTAGCTAAACGACCTAAAGCAAGTGCAGCTGTTTGTTGTACACTTGGTACAACATCAAGTAATAATGGACGAAGTAATGCCATAACACCTGCATTTTGAAGTGTTTCAATATTTTGTGGTCGTGTTGCAAGATCAGCTACAGATTGAACAAATGTTAAACGAGCTTTTTGATATTGTTCAAAAACTAGAAATGAAAATATTTTAGTTTATAGAAGAAAAAATGAAATTGAACAAAGAAAAAATCACCTTGTAATGTATGTCGTTGGCTCATGATGACAGTCGAAAGAACGACAACTAATGAAAAATCTATTCAACAAGTATAACTATCACTACAACTTGCAACAACAACAAATGATGTTTGATGTATGTTGGCAACCAAAGTAACCATTAGAAGTTTGTATCTAGGATTGTAACTCAGCTATGTCATTCATTATTTTCATTATTGAATTTTATATAAATAACAATTTTTTCATTAAAGAAACAATTTATAATGAATTATAGAATAATTATAATAAGTTAAAATAATTTCTATCATAGATGGCGTTGTTATCTTATTATTTTGATCAAGATAAATATTTATTGGATGATTCGATAGTAAACGTTGTTTTATTAATGCAAACTTCATTTTCTTTATAAAAGGTGTCAATTAATATTACACTTCTCGAAAGAATTAATTCAATAGTATTGTATATTCTTCGATCAATGAAAAATCTTTTTCTAAAGTCTATGCTCTCATTAATATTCACAATAAAAAGCTTTTGAATCAATCTATGAAAAAATATGATTTATTAAAACTCTTTTATTACCTCATCTATCTTTATTTTATAAATAGGAAGTACAATACAAAAGTAAATTCCTTTTCTAATACAAGTACAGTTTTTTTCAAGTAGAAGTTTAATACTTCTACTTACAATACTGTGACTTGTTTTACTTCTTAAAAGAATAAAGTTAATTTTATTTAAAAATAAAATTAAAACAATAAAAATATAATAATGAAATAGTCAATATAATAAAGATGCATTCATCTTTAACACGTATCTAAAAAAAGAAATGAAATAATTTTCATATGAATAATAAATAATATAGAAAATTTTGTCTTACTTGTCGATTGAATATTAATATATTGAAGAACAATATTAGCATAACCATTACTGTAAGCTCCTGTTGTTGGAGCACCACTTGAAAATGCATTTGATTGTTGATAATATGTATATGCATAGACAGATGATGAGGATACTGGAGCATAACCCCATATACATTGAGATGAATATGATCCAAAATATTGACCACCACTTATTAGAAAAGCGTTTCCTTGACACCCAGATGGAGTTGATGCACTGGTACATAATAATATCGTTACAAGTTTCATTGAAGTATCTGTATCAGAAGTACGATCATATGTTAAAGCTCCTGATTGTTCAATTAGTTGAAATTGATTTGAACCACTCGAAGAAAATGTTCCAAAATAAATATTATTATCATTACATGTCTGTGCCGCATAAAACGATACTTGTGTAACTAATCCACCAGTATTCACTGCGACTGCATCAATATAAGTTACACCTATACTTGCTGGTTGACCATTAGGAGTAGCTACATACCCAAATGGAGTATCTAAAAGAATAAGAAATTTCTTTAATGATATGTTGTAAAATAAATTAGGGTTTAATATGAATTGAAATCGTTGAAACTCTTCTCTTTCTCAAATGGCTGAAAAAACATATCGATTAATCATAATTAAGATTTACTTTTTGTACATTATAAATGTGTCAATTAATAAATAAATCTCGAAAGATTATTTCGATAGTGTCCTAATTTAAACATACTAACACTATTACTAGTAACAAAGAACACATCAATTCTCTATTAGAAATATTCAGTTCATTTTTTTAGTTAATTTTAAAATATATCCTAACGTATCTAAAGTATCTTTAGATAAAGATCTTATAATAAAATAACATACTTGAAGGGCATGGTATTATAGTTGATGTGGTGGGTTTTATACAATCTCCTATAGTACCACTTCCAATATAACCTGATGTACATGCGCAAGAATATGTTGTGCCTGATGCGCCTGATGTACATAGTGCATTTGTATCACATGGATTTGGTTGACAAGGATTGTCGCAATTAGCTAAAACAAATCATAAAGATAAATTCTTTATTTTATTTATACAATATTTCTTGAAGAATAATTATTCAACTAATAATCAATATTTTTCCATCGTTTACGATTCGTTAATTTTTATTCATAGTAGAATATGAGTGAGTCTAATCTTAGGATAATCAACATAAATCTTATTTATTTTTCAATTCAAAAGGGTTATCAGATTAAAGTAGATAGAAAATTTACCCGTTTTTAAAGTTTACTATTCTTAAAATAAGATGATTTTTTTATAATACAAATGGAGACATTTCGATTCCTCTATATCTGTGACTGTGCCTTTTATCGATGAAATAAATCTAATTGTTTTTAATTTTAATAAAACTGAATATTGTATTACCTGTCGTTAGTTGTGCAATTGTAATTTGTTGTAAAACAACGTTATTAAAGTCATGTACATAAACAGCTGATGAAGGATTTGATGTAAATGGATTATATGTATATTTATAATATGTTGTTGGATAACCAGATGATCCCACAGGAGAATAAGCAAATCGACAACTTGACGAATAAGATCCAAAATATTGACCTTGTCCAATAACAAATGCATTTCCTTGACATCCAACTGGATTATTAGATGAAAGACAAAGAGAAATATCTACACGTTGCATTGTTGTTGAATAACTACTTCGATCAACACTAATAGGACCTGATTGTGTTACTAATTGAAAAGTATTTGAAGATGAAAGAGGAGGAGTTGTTGAGAAAGCTCCGAATTGAATTCCACTATCTACACATCCATTATTTGCATAAAATGAAACCATTGTTACTAAACCACGTGCTGTTATACTAACAGCATCAATATAAGGAGCACCTAATGTTGTATCAGTACCAGTAGGAGGATCTATCATATCACCACTTGTAGTAAATATTTCTTCAAAGAATAAAATTTTATTTTTATTTATTTTTAAATTTATTTTCTATTTACCTCGTTGTCCTGACCCATAAAGACTTCCATAAAGACTTGATGTACAACTGCAGAGTGGACCACTGGATGTATCAGTACACTTACCACGAATTGAACATGTTGTTGATGTGCACGGCACTAAAAAATAAAATACAACAAAATCAGTAAAGTATATAGTCAAACATATTTAAATTCATTTCAGCCCATTTTTCAATATAAATACATCTAATTAGAATATTAACAAAAACTGAAAGAGATTCGTTTCCAGGATATCTAAATATCTTATTCTGTGTAATTCATTATAAAGATCGTTTCATTATAACGGAAAAGGAATACTAGTCAAGACTTCAATAGTATAACTAAGTGAGTGACTACATTTAATCACACAGAATATCCAAAATATTCTATCAAGAATAATAATCAAACTGAACTCACTAACAGTAGCCGTGATAGCTGTAGTAATACTCGTGGTTATAATAGTCATTTCCGAAGTAATAGTAACTGTGTTATCCACTTCTCCAGCAGTTGTTTGTAGATCTCCAGCAGTGGTTTGTAAATCCCCAGCAGTGGTTTGTAGATCTCCAGCAGTGGTTTGTAGGCCTATAGGT